TGGTGGCCGCCTGCCCAGCTCCGTGTTTAAACCCCACAGACCCTGGCCATCGAGGGCGGCGCCGAGGACCTGGGCCAGGAGGAGGTGGTGCAGCAGTGCATGCGGAACCAGCCGTGGCTGGAGCAGCTCTTCGACTCCTTCAGCGACCTGCTGGCCCAAGCACAGGCCCACAGCCGCTGCGGGTGACCCCACCTTCTGTGGGGGGCGGGGCACCTCCTCCTTGAACCAAGAATTGGGACAGAACTGTGTCCTCAGGCGCTAACCCCTAGGCCCTGTGGCCAGGGGACAGGGAGGGTCACTGGTCAGGGTGTGTCCGTGTTGTCCCTACGGGGCAGGGTTCAGAGTTCGACTCCCCTCTCTCCCCAGCCCTCTCCACTCCCTCCCCACCCCTCCCACTGTCCGGTGTACAGAGAAATTATTTATATATATGTATAAATGTCTATTTAGTAACGGTTTCCCCTCTCCCCCTCGCCCCATTCCCCCCTCCATGGCCATAGCCCTCACCCCCTCCACCTTGTACATAATGTATAGGAAAAATCTATGTATGGTTGAGGGGGGTGGGGCCGCTTTAGAGAGCTGGGGGACCCACTGACCCCCAAGCACCCCCCCGTTACAGGCCAAGATCTTTGCTAAAGGCCATTCCCTCCCCAGGGCTCTCGGTGTCCAGTGGGAGGGGGAAAACGCATCTTGTTAATTATTTTTAATCTTATTTATTGTACATACCTGGGGCGGGGGCTGGGGAGGTGGAGGGGGGAGAGGGTCCCCTCCTGTTGCCCCTCCCACTCCTTTTCTACTGCGATGTGTCTGTGTCTCCCCCCAGCACACACCACCCCCCTCCCATTGTTGTCTGGATGTGGTTCTATTTTTTATCGGTCTCCCCTCCCCTCTTCCCTCTCTCTAACCCCTCCGCTCCCACCCCCCCTCCACCCGTTGTCTCTTGCTCTTTCTTGGGCTTCTGTACAACTCAACTTGTATACACTGTGTACACACAACCAGCCAAACGAAAACCCGACGGCAAACACTTGATGGTCCGGCTGGAGTGGCTCTGTCCCGCGGCGTCTGGGCGGCGGCCCCCGGGGTGGCACGGGCAGAGGGTCCGGAACGGGAGTGCGGCTTTTCTGGAGCCCCAGGTGGTGGTTGCGCCGGGCACCATGTATCTGCTATGTCTCGCTGTGTAACAAAGAGCCCCACCCCACAATTTAGTGACTTAAAACAAGAAGCATCATTGTATGGTTTCTGAGGATCAGGGATCGGGGAGTGGGTTTCCTGGGTGGTGCCGGCCTCGCTCTGTCACCGGGGTGCCATCGGGTCATCAGCCAGCGGGCAGAGGTTCTGGGGGAGGGAGGAGGGACCGAGGGACCGAGCCATCTTATTCCCAGGGCGGAAGGTGGGACTCGGGGCGGCCCGTCCTCAAGGATTTGGCGGGAGTTTCAGGATCTACTTTTAAGGTGGCTCATTCGCATGGCTCTTGGCCTCAGGTCTTGCCACATGGACCTCGCCCACCCATAGGGCATCTTGAGCGTCTTCACAGAGCAGGCAACCCAAGGGGAAGGGCAAAGAGGAAGCCAGGAGGTTGGTTTTGTTTGTTTTGTTATTTTTTTTTTTACTGATGTCAAAGAGGAAGGGAGAGGGAGGGACAGAAACATCCATGATGAGAGAGAATCACTGATCGGCTGCCTCCTGCACGCCCCACACTGGGGATCAAGCCCGCAACTGAGGCATGTGCCCTGACCGGGAATCCAGCTGACCTCCTGGTTCATAGGTTGATGCTCAGCCACTGAGCCACGCCGGCCGGGCACAGAACCAACTTTTTAGTAAGCTCCTGGGAGGATTCAGATGCGCATCCGAGTTTGAGGAGCAACGCTCTAGGACGAGAACTTGAACCCTGGAGTTCGGCTGGGAGCACTCTAGAACCCGGCCTATAAAGCAGTGAGTCAGCCATTCTGGAGCCTGGATACATGTCAACAAAGAGAGACTCTTGACGCCCTAGGACCGTGGTCGGCAAACTGCGGCTCGCGAGCCACATGCGGCTCTTTGGCCCCTTGAGTGTGTGGCTCTTCCTAAGCCTTAGGGGTACCCTGATTAAGTTAATAACAATGTACCTACCTATATAGTTTAAGTTTAAAAAATTTGGCTCTCAAAAGAAATTTCAATCGTCGTTGTACTGTTGATATTTGGCTCTGTGGACTGAGTGTGCCGTCCACTGGTCTAGACCATGGCCACAGTTATTGCTGGTTGTACAGAATGGCTAGAAACACTTGGGGACATGATGGGAGCTCGTGATGGGCCGTGGACTTTCTAGAATCTTCTTAGTTAAGAGCATTGAGAATGGACTCAAACCGTGGGGTGCTGAGCGTATAGCCCCAGAGGGAGCGGTACATTCAAGGTTCTGGATTGGAATGGATGCCAAATTGGGACCAAAGTCTCCAGGATCAGCGTTGTCCCAGGACAGAGCTCTGTCCTAGAAAGTGGATGGGCGTTGGGGTTAGAATAACCTTGTGGTTGGTTGGCCTTTGTCATTCCATTGTTCCAAGTGAATCCCAGCTCTCGCACTAGCTGGACAAGGTGGAGAATAGCCTCCCGTCCTCAGTTTTGTCATCTGTAAAATGGGCTTTCGGCGAGATGAAGGAAACCTGTGTGAAGCACTCGGCACTGCAAGCGCTTAGCTGCTGTTCCCCTTGGCAGGAGGCCTCAAGGGTTTGTGGGAGGTCCAAGAGATGGCGAGAAGGGTTGAGAGAGAGGCTGACAAAGGTGGACAAAGAACCCAGAGAGACAACCCCTGACAGGGCCCGCCAGAGCCCAGGGGAGGCAGGAACCAGAGAGGAGAGACTCACGGGTGCACACATGTGCCTTAGGGAGATGCCAACTAGGTCATCCCAGCCTCTGGCTGTTGTCGGATGAGCCTGGAATGGCGGTGGCTGCGAACCTTCCAAAAATGGCCTGCCAGCTGTCGTGTGGGTTTGTATGTGCGCCTTGTTCTGGGGGCAAACGGGAGCTTTCATCAGCTTCTCAAAGTGCATCTGGGTCCTCCCAGAGGCAGGGTGTCCCGGCCAAGGACTTGGCCCTGTTAGGCAGACCTTGTGCTGGAGGCGTGCCTCACCCCCGGCTGGGACTTGGGTGGGGGTGTCGGGTCTTATCTGGAAACTGCTAGAAACATCCCCCACCACCACCACCAGTCCCTCCCCGTCCCCCCAGAGGTGGGCCTCACTGAGCAGAGGTTCTGGGGGAGGGGAACGATCTTGCGGGACAATGAGTCCGAGCCAGGCTTATTCCCAGGGCGGAAGGTGGAACTCCTGCCAAGGATTCTGTGATAATGAAACCCGGAAAGGGATCGTCGGCTAATCGTTGTTCTGATCTGGAGTACAGAGGGACATTCATGGGGCTGGGGCCGGAGCACAAGGCACTGAGGGTGCCCCGGGCACCGTGCTCATCGCCTGTGTGCCTCTTGCCCTGGGGAGTGGCTCTGTGGTCACCACAGCGCAGGGTACCCCGACCGAGGTGGCGGAGCGGGGTTCGAACCCAGGCAGCCCGCTGCCAGGGCCCTGCAGGACCATCGCTACCCCAGGCCCAGGAAAAGCCGGTTCTGGGTGGGTGTGAGCGGAGCATTTCCGGCCGGGATTCTGTGGACACTGAGATGCGGGGGGGAGGGGGCACAGGTCAGTGACTAGTGACAGCTCATTAGGTGGAGGTCAAAGTTCAGGCCTGGGGACATCAGGGGTGGGGCTCCGGCCTGGTGTGTTGAGTCGGTGTTGGGGTTCAAAGACGCCTGTCCGGTGGGCTTGGGAGATGGGTGAGTGGTGGTCTCAGCCTTCGAGATCAGCAAAGAGAGAGCGGAATTCAGGGGTCCTGGATTGAATGTTGGGGAACCAAACGTTTGCAAACGGAAGGGTCCTAGCAACTTATGTCTGGTGGCCTTGAGATACCCGGCACTTCTCCTCCCAGGAGAGAGGCTCAGATGGGGTGTGTCCACACCAGCCCGAAGTCGGACTCAGGGTTTAAGACTCGGACGTCAGCCCACCCAGTTGGGAACTTTCTGGAACTGAGAACTTGCCAGCTGGCTGCTCGGACACCATTCCGTCCACCTGTCCCTTTCTCCTCCTCCGGCCAGAAGCCCTCGCAAACATACATCGGAGGCGGGAGGGGGCGGGCGGGGTTTGGAGCGGCTGCTGCCTGTCTCCAAAGTCTGGAACTTTCTAGAACACCAACGGGCCTCTCTGGGGTGGTGGGGATTTGCCTGTTTGCATTGGGGTAGCCACTAGCCACATGGGAGGAATGAACAGGCCCTTGAAATGTGGCCAGTGTGACTGAGGACAGTCACATGCCCTGGCCCTGGCCAAGTAGCTCTGTTGGTTGGAGCGTCATGCTGATCCCACCAGGGTTGCGGGTTCGATCCCCAGTCAGGGCCCATGCAGGAAACTGGTGGGTGCATGGACGGGTGGGACAACGGATCCACGTTCCTCTCCCTCTCCCTCTCTAGGATCAATGGGGGAAAAATAATCTCTCTCTATATAAAAGCCTAATATGCAAAGTGTCCCCTCAGGAGTTTGACCAACCAGGAGTTGGATCGCTCTCTATGATGTGTGCTGGCCACCAGGGGGCGGCGCGGACTGAAGGAAGGCCCCGGCCAGCAGCCGGCAGCTGCTAGGTACCCTACCTGTGCACAGATTTCATGCACTGGGCCTCTAGTAATAAATGGTCACCTGCAGCTTCTGGCTACCATATTGAACAGTGTCCTTTTAGCATGTTCCAGGAAAACAATTCTTTTTCAAACGTTAAACCTCATCCCAGCAAATGCCCGCTGACACAGGAAAGGGTGGAGTGGCCTGTTGCAGGGTAAGTGGGGTCCAGACACCTGGCCCACCTCGTTCTCGATGGCCCTGCCCCCACCAACACGGGGTTCTAGATCCGATGGTTCTAGGTGGGCCGAGGCTTTCGTGTGCGCCTGCCCTGAGTTCACCGACCTCCTCTGGCCCTTTCCCCTCCCACACAAGCGCCTCCCGACACTGGCAGTGACGTTTATTTCTCTGGGGCGGGGTTATATACAGCAGTGGCCCGGACTGGAGGCCCGGGAGCCCCTCGCCCCCACCAGGGGCCCGGGTGGGGGCAGGAGGCATTGGCAGAGGCACGCGGTGGCAGTGGCCGCAGGCCGGGGGTCGTGGGTGGGGGTGTAGTGTGGCCTGGGAGACCCCGCTGGGGAAGGGCAGCTGGTCCCGGGAGCGCGTGCTGGTTCCTCTACAGGACGACGCAGGGGCAGCTCCTGGCCTTCTTCCTGGGGGAGCTGGGCGGGCTGGGCGGCAGCTCCTGCTCCTGGTACTTCCTGTGGGAAGAAGCTGGTGAGTTTGGGCCCCAGGGGTTGGGGACAGAAGATGGGGGGTGGAGTGGGGGGGGAGCCCTCCACTCACCGGACAGCCCGCACCAGCTGCTCGAAGGCCTCGTCCACGTTGAGGCGCAGTTTGGCCGAGGCCTCGAAATAGGCCACGTGGTGGGAGGCACTGAAGGTGTTGGCTTCAGATCGGGGCACCTGTGGGGGTGGGGGGGAGACACCCGGGAGACTCAGGTCCCTGCACCCAGGATGGGGCAGAAGGACAGACACTGTGCGCTGGGATGGGGGGTGGGGGGTAGGCGTCACACATGGTGGGCGGGGGGCTCCAATAGAAAGTTCCAGAGATCAGATGGGGGACACCAGGGGGGGCTGGGCACCATCTGAGGAGCGGAGAGGCTGCACAGACATCTGCCCTCCGGCAAGTGAGGTGACAGTTCATCAGGCAAAGAAGTGGGGTGTTCCCAGCAGAGGCCTGAGCCCTGCAGCCAAGGCTGGAAATCCCCAAAGGCTTTCTCTACAACTGTGCTCTGCGTGCAATCCCCTGGCAGAGGGAAGTGGTGGGAGCAGAGAAAGGAAGGGCGAGACCACGGCGGCACCCAGGGCCAGGTGGAAGAGCTGGTTCCCACCCCCACCCCCCACGACGGGGCCTATGGGGAGCCACAGAGGGCTGGGAGCAGGCGGGGGGCGGCTGGACCCAGTGGGAGGTGGATGCAAAGGTCCCCGGTGGGAACAAGAGGTGGGGGTTGAGGGGAGGGGGTGGAGCAGAGTCAGGGCTTGGGGACCTGGGGACCAGCCACCTCTCCCGGGAACTCCTGGGTGCAATGCCGGGGACTCAGAGCGACCGGCTTGGGGGGGCGACACATCCAGGGACCCGTGTGACAGTGGGGGGGGCAGGATCACACCGGCCAGAGGAGGATGCTGATGTGCAGAGAGACAGGGAGGTGTGCCACCCTCCCAGGCTGAGACGGGGGTCCCCGGGCGCCTCGGACCTGGCGCTGCGCTTCCAGATCCGCCTTGTTCCCGACCAACACGATGGGGAAGTCGTCGCGGTCCTTGACCCGGAGGATCTGCGTGAAGAGCTTGCTCACCTCGTTGAAACTGCAGAGGAAGCCCAGAGGCGTGAGGTCCGGCAGCTCAGCACACCCCCCCCCCCCCCGCCCCTCCCTTGCTCTGCAGCCTCCCGGCTCCTCTCACCTCTGCCGGTCGTTAATGGCAAACACCAGCAGGAACCCGTGCCCGGCGCGCATGTACTGCTCCCGCATGGCGCCAAACTCCTCCTGGCCCGCGGTGTCCAGGACTGCAGGGAAGGGGAGAGGGCCGCCATGTGGACAAGGCTCCCCTGGCCATCCCCAGGCACCCTTGGCCACACCGCCCCGACCCCCGCCACTAGCCCCCCATGCGCTCTCGGCCGCCCTCACTGTCCAGCCGGGCCGGGACGCCGTCCACGGTGCAGATCTTGGTGTAGGAGTCTTCGATGGTGGGGTCGTAGTCAGAAACGAAGTAGGACTGGAGGGGTGGGGAGAGGGGGGACGCTGTGACTCCACCGCCCCAGCAGGGTTGGCACAGCTCTGCCCCTGGGGCCCGCCTGGCCTGCCCCGCCCCACTCTCTGGGTCTCTGTCCCCTGTCTCTTTGGCTCTATCGTCCTCGTTCTGGCTTTCCCTCCCTCCCTCCCTCCCTCGGCCGCCCCCAGGCCCCTGTCTGGGGGGCTCTCCTGCACTTCTGTCTCTTTCTAGTATCGAGTCCGTCTCCCGGGTCGCGGTGACCTCCTGGCTGTGTGGCGCTGAACAAATCACTTCCCCTCTCTGGACCTGTTTCCTCCTTTAGAAAATGAGTGTTAAAATAGCCCCACATGGAAGCCAGTGTTTGTGAGATTCAGGCGAAATCCAGTTAGCGTCTGAGCATTTACCACCCGGCCTGGGCAGAGTAGGTGCTCAGTTACTGGGGGCCGTGTTGTCCAGAGTTCTGCCTGTCTGTATCTGTCCCTCCTCCCTCCTCCTCCTCCTCCTCCTCCTGCTTCTCCTCCTCCTCCTCGGGCGGCTTTCAGTGTCTCCTCCCAGGGGAAGGTCCGGGTTCCAATCCAACTTTGGAGAAACTGCCCCTCCTGCAGGCCGGGCCCCTCCCTTCCTGCCTGGGTCCCGCCCGTCTCCAGCCAGGCTTTTGAGCAGTTTCGGGTCTGCCCCTGGGACAAGGGGCCCAGGGCTGGGGGGCTTTTCTCTACACAGGCAAGGGCTCCCATGCAGGCACTTGGGGGCGGGGGGTGGGGGCGGTCTCTTGAGGGGTCTGGGGCCCAGGGGCCCCTGCACTATCTTCTCCGGAGCAGACACCTTTCTAGGGTTTCTCTGAGGCAGGAGGGAGGTTTCCCTTGGGAATGGGGTGGCGTTTCAGCAGAGAAGGGGTGATCTGGCCGCTGGGGGTCTTAGGGCTGCACCCTGTCTGCTGGGGGTGGTGCTTGGTGAGGGCCTGTCCTGGAAGGAGGGGGTGGGGACCAGGCCCTGGGGGGATTAGGAGGGTGTCTTCAGCACACCTCACAAGAAGGAAGCTCAGGGGTGAGAACTAGGAGAGGGAAATCTGGGCACATTGGGAGTTTGTACTAGAATAGAAGTGCGTGTCTAGAGTCTTAGGGACCCTGACATGCATTTATGGGGTCAGAGACACTCCTCAGGAGTAGCTATTTCTGGGGGTGTCGAGAATCTGGGGGCTTCTTCCATGGAGACTGTTTTTTTGGGGGGTAGCCAGGGTTTCTGAGAGAGGCTCGGGGAGTCTGAATGGAAAATTCAAGAGTGGTTGGTTTTCCTTAGGGGGAGGGTGGAGGTCTGGGTCTCATGGGATGGAGATGGGGGAGCCCCAGGATGTGGGGTCTTAGCGTTCTCTGGAATGACCAAGGGGCACAGGACCTTTTAGAACTCTCTTGGGTCTGAGGGCACCTCTCTTAGAACTGGGTGGTCCCAGATGGGACTCGGGGGCAAAGTTTGGGCATCATTTCTAGATTCTGGGGGAGGTGCCTGAAAGGGCTAAGCATCCAGACTGGGGCCATCTCAAGGGCTTTGGGCACAAGCATTCTCCCAGTTAGGCTCTGGCTCTCAGAGGGGAAGCTGAGGTCTGGGATTTGGGGGAGATGGGGCTCAGGGTGAGAGGAAGTGGCATCTACAAGGGTGGGGGCACAGGAAAGGGCTTAGGATCTGGATGGGGCGACTTATGGATTTAACGTGCTCCCAGGAGGTGCTCAGGGTCAGGTCAACAGCGAAGGGGAGTCCTGGGCCCTGGGGGAGGACGTGAGTATAGAAGGAAGGTCCCTCAGGTAAGAGGGTGGCAGCTCTGGGGGGCTCAGGGTCACATTCTCAGGGGGATTTTTAAGATTAGAGGGCCTCATAAGAAGGTCTCAGTGACGGATCAAGAGAAGATCGGGGTCTCAGGGATCCCCCCCAAGGGCTATGTTCTGGGTCCCCGGGGCACCCCCCGAGTGAGGTCCCCACTACCTGGATGAACTGGATGGTCAGCGCACTCTTGCCCACGCCGCCGCCGCCCACGACCACCAGCTTGTGTGTCTCGCTGGGTGGGGGGTCCCCGGGTCCCGGCCCCCCGCCCCGGGGCCGCCCCCGCCCCGTCGCGGACGCCGCCCCGCTGCTCATGTCGCCTTCGCTGCCGCCGCCGCCGCTACAGCCTGGGGGGAACCGGGCGGGGCCTAGGGGGCGGGGCATGCTAATAAGCCTACTGCATAATCATGAGCTCCAGGGAAAATGACACAGTCTCGGTACACTTAAGGGGGAGGTAAGGCTAGGTAAAAGGCGGAGCTATGCTAATAGGGATTGAGGAACGACGTTCCCCGTGGAGGGGAATTCCTAGAGGGGCGGGGATATGCTAATGAGAGAAAGAGACCTGCGCTCCCAGGGAGCGGCGCCACGCGCTCTGGGCTGGAGGGCCGTCTGGGGGCGGGGCTATGCTAATACAATCTCATACTCTGGGCACACGGGTAGGAAAGATCGTTCTGGGCGGGGCTATGCAAATAAGGAGCTCCGTGAGGCCGCTTCTCAGGGCACCTCCCCAGGGCCTCGTTCTAGTAGGCGGGGCTGGCCGGCTCCCGCGCGGCCGTATATAGGCGCGCTCCAGGGAAGGAGCAGGTCCCGCGGGGAAGCTCCACCCCCGCCCTGGGATCCTGGCCAGGCTCCCGACCCGGGCGTCCGGGCTGGATGTCGTAGTCTCCGCCCGCTCAGGGACCCAGGCTTCCGGTTCCCGCTGTCCCAACCAAGCGGAAGACAGACTGGGAGGGGAGTTGGGGCCCTGGAGGAGGACAGCCCAGTAACGGGACAGGGAGGGGCCGTGAGATCACTGCATTCCTAATCCATGAGCCAGCTCGCCCAGGCCGGGACGCCTGGGTCATGAAGGGCCTATAGCCAGGAAGTCTGGGTCTTTGGAGGAAGCTGACGGCCCAGACTCCTGGGTCCCTAGGAGAGAATGGGGCTCGAGGTCTGCTTTCCTGTATCCTGGGGAGGAGGGATCTGGGGATCCTTATTATTAGGACTATCCATGTCCCGTCAAGGAGGAAGCTGAGGGCCCAGCCAGACTTGGGTCCAGGAGTTGGAGGGGCTGGGGATCCGGAATTCTTGATCCGAGGGAATTAAGGTGGGGAACCAGAACCCGTGTTCGTGTAAGGTACGAGCTTGAGACCAGGAATGGTCCGAGGGCCCAACTCCTGGATCTCAGGAAGGAGGAAGGCTCGGACTCCTGAGTCGCAGGGAGGAGGGAAATGGGAACCCGAAATCCTCTGCCGAGTGAGAGGAATAGGAATTTGGACTTTACTATCCTAAATAAGGAGGCTGTAGGGCCGGCCTTTTTGGTTCTAAATTTAGAGGGGACTAGAGGGGGATCGAGATTCTGGGCTCCCCAGAATGTGGGCGGGGCAATTTGCAGTCAATCCAATTTTTTTTTTTTTTCTACTGCACGCTCCGAACTACAATTCCCTTGCATCTATCGGGCTAAATGCTCTTTAGGTCACTTCCTGCTCCTCAGCTCTTTCCGCGCGCGCAGGGCATTGTGGGGCTACATCGCGGGCTACCGCAACCCCGCCCACTTCACCTCTCACCTCCTTGCTGTCCCCGCGTGACGGAAGCGACGCGCGGACTACGCCTCCCGGCGTGCGTCGCGCGCACCCCTGCCCAGGCGCCCCGTTGACTGTTGGGAAACTGAGTCCGGAGCCTTCCCACCAGCCTTCACGGCACCGTGCACGGTACTTGAAGTCCCGGCAAGCTCGGCGGCGTTTTAACCCCGCCCCCTCTCCTCCTCTGCTCGCGAACCTCCCCAGCCCGCCCCGCCCCGCGCCGGGGCCGGAGCCGCAGCCCGAGCGGCGGGGTAAGATGGCGGCGGTGGTCCGGGCCGCGGGGCTCGGGCCTATCGGGGTGGGCGGGGCGGAGTCGGGTCGCTAGTCGTCCTGCGGTCCTCCCCACACGCCGCGGGACCCGGAGGACTTAGCGGGGCGGCCTCCGGTCCGGCAGCGGAGGCGGAGCCTGGCGCCGAACGGGGGGCCTTCGCAAGGCCCCGGGACGCGTCTGTGGGTGCCGAGGGCATCTACGGGGCGTCCCCGTGAGAACTGGGGACGTCCACCGGGCCTGGGCCGAGGCTGGCGCCTGCCCTCCACCATGGGTCTTGTCTGTAGGCACTGTGGATCGTCTTGATGGGCTGGCCGGAGGCTAGGGTCTGTTCGGAGGGTTCTGGGGCCATCTTGAGATCTTGAGACATGTCCCAGAGGTGAGGGAGGTTTGCAAGAGCCGAGGACTGTCTGCTGAGCCGTCTGTGGCTCTGGGGTATGGCCATCGGGGCTGCGAAGTGTCTACATGGGCTGACCCGAGGATGCCACTCACCTACCCGGGTCCGGGGCCATTTAGCGGGCCTGCCGGAACGGATCCTGGGTTAGGAAGTCATGCAGGGGTGGGATGTGCCCCCCAGGGGAGGGAGGCCGATACTGAGACGTGCTGAGAGGCCTGGATGGGTCTCCCGCGTCTGGGGAGCGGCTGATCGGAGTGACAGGAGGCCGGGGGACAGTTAGAAGGACCTGGACCCGCTCGGTGGCTTTGAGTGTTGCCTGCCCGGGTGCAGCCTGGATGCCCGGAGCAAATTCGAATGCCTTTTGGGCCAGATAATCAGATGGAGAATAAGACAAAGGAGATTATTGGAAAATATGCGGAACTCAAATGTGCTTGCACTTTAGAAGGTAATTCAAATGAGAGGAAAAAAAAAAAGTCTTCAAAGTCTGCATTGCCTTGGGGCTCTGGAGTGAGCATTCGTCCACATGAGTCGGGAGCAGTCCCTAGGATCGACCCCCTAGCCATCGGGTGCAGCGCTTCTCAAACTCTCTTGACCTTGATCTACAGTTCTAAGAAATACATTTTTCATTGAGACCCCCAGTACCTACTGACATATATATTTAACCGTATACCCGCGTCCCGTTGCTATTTCCACTTAGTACTTGCAACGTGAAGGATTTTCTACTGTGTTCTATGGATTTACTGTCTGTGATCAGCCGTTTGTGAAGCACTTATACCGCTATCGGTGGGACTCATTCACTGATCTAGAGGGACCTAGCAATGTCTGCAGAGCCTTGTCAAGTAAAAAAAGAAAAAGAAATGTAAGGAGCCACTGGTATGTGTGTCTTCACAGCTTGGGGCATGCCTGCATGGGCAAGTGAGCGTCTTCATACAGAGGGTTTGGGGATCCGTGTGTCTCTCTGTAGCCTGCAGATCTGGATTAAGCTTCTGTTCTGTGAATCACTGAAACTTGTGCTTCCCCCTGGAGGTGCTGGAGGGAAGCTCCAGGGCTGGGAGCTGTCCTTAGGGCCTTATCAGGGCGGGTGTCAATGGGGAGTTAGGGAAGGAGCCTTTAGAGGGGTGGGAGGCGGCATGGGGGAGCTTTCAGAAAGCGTGAAAAATTGCCCAGCCTTCCATGGCTCAGTGATTGAGCGTTGACCTATGAACCAGGAGGTCATGGTTCAATTCCTGGTCAGGGCACGTGCCCGGGTTGCGGGCTGGATCCCCAGTGTGGGGTGTGCAGGAGGCAGCCGATCAATGATTCTCTCTCATCATTGATGTTTCTCTCTCTCTCTCTCTCTCTCTCTCTCTCTCTCTCTCTCTCTTTCTCTCTCTTTCTCTCTCTCCCTCTCTGAAATCAATAAAAAAATAATATTTTTTAAAAGCTTGAAAATCTGGTAGGAGGGAGACCAGGACAGAGGTCTTTGCAGGTATGCAGTGGAGAAAGGGGGTTTGGGGGAAGCCTGGCCCCTCGAGGCTAATAATAAAGATGATGATTATTGTTACTCTGCTGAGCACTGGGTTGAGCTAAGCCTGTGGGAGAAGCAGCTTTTTTCAGTTCTCGCCGCTGTTCTCTGAGATAGACACGCTGATTGCGCCATATACAGATAAGCACCCTGAGTGGGGGGTCAGGGGTTCGAAGCTTTCTAGGAACTGTGAGACTGGGTATTGTTGCAGGGAAGCGGGTTTGACAGCTGGAGGGAAGCCTGCAGCTGAAATGCTCCTATTTTCTGAAGCCCTCACTAAGACAACCAACCGCATCTGAAGGATGACTTCTCAGCTTCTGTATAATCTAAGAATTTCTGTGCCATCGCGAAGGCGGCAGCCATGCTTTCATGCGGTGGGCATTCAGGCCAGAGGCGATGTCCCCGGGGGGTGTCTGGTGGGCAGCGGGCCCTTCTAAGGTCAATGTTCTCATTTCAAAAGCGGCACACAGGTTTTGCAAATCACACTGTCACCGTTCCCTCTTAGATACGTAAATAGTTTGGGTCCTTCACCATCAAGGAACATGGATGACGCTTTAGGCAGTTGCGTCGTGTTGGAGGCGCAGCCAGCACTCCCGCACGCACCTCATTTTAGGAATGGCGCAGGCACGGGGCTGTGGAGCGCACTGTCCGAAAGCACAGCTCAGCGGGGAAAAATCCTGGCGTTGGGTTGGATCCCAGGAGGGTGGGCCGGCAGGTCTTACATCGGGTTGTGGCGGAAGCTGTGGGGTCTGCGGAGCTGGGTGTTGCCATAGGAGACGGGGAAGGCCGCCCCTGGACAGAGGAGGCAGCCGAAATCCAGACGAGGGAAGGGAATGGCTCTGCTCCCTCTGGTGTCTGCCCTGGACCTGGTGCCCCCCCAAGGACTGGGATGAGGTGGGGGAGAGGAGGGATGCTGAGGAGGATACTGACTGTGGGAACGTTGGAGGCCCCTGAGGTCCTCGTGACCATTCTCTGCTTTTGTCCCTGTGCGTGCACACACACCTCATCCCTCAACCCTCAGGTGACCATGGAGGAAGAAGATGAGTCTCGAGGGAAGACGGAGGAGTCGGGCGAGGATAGGGGTGACGGCCCGCCAGACAGAGACCCCACGCTTTCTCCTACTGCCTTTATTCTGGTGAGGCCTGAACCACCTGGGGCCACAGGAGGGAGGGGCTGAGAGTCTGGAATGGACTCGGGGGCCCCAGAGGGCGGAGGGGCTGGGGGCCTAGACTCTTGGCTCCTCTGAAGGGTTTGAGTCTGGTTGTAGGGTGTCCAGAATGCCTGTCTCCCCGGAGCAGAGCTCGTGACCATTTGCACGAGTCCCCTGACCGCCGCCCTTTCTCTCCACCTCTCCACCTCCCATCTTTTCTTCAGCGGGCCATTCAGCAGGCGGTGGGAACTTCCCTGCAGGGGGACCTGGCGAATGATAAAGGTACGGGGGGTTCTAGTTCCTCTGAAGCTCCCTGCCCGATCCCTGCATTCTTTACCCCAGTTTCCTTCCCGGACTTCTCCGGGGTCTCCTGGGGGCCGCCCTTGTGCTGGCGGAGGAGCTGGAGAGGAGGCTGCCGTGGAGGGTTCCCAGTCTGGTGGAAGGGAGGCAGTCGTGGCACAGAGGTAGCCTGTGGGACCCGAGCAGACAGGAGGTCCAGCTGAGCTAATGGAGGAGCCTGTCCAGGAGGGCTTCCTGGAGGGGGTGGCCTATTAGAGTTGTCCGGTGAGGAAGAAAGCCCGAAGAGGCAACAACAGGCGCATAGCACAGGGATGGGCTGCAGGACTGATCTGTGTTTCTTAGGGGCGGCTGCGCAGGGTGGGAGGGGAGGCAATAGAAGCCCATGGGGACCAGGTCAGAGCCGAGCTGCCTTGTCTGGGCTCTATCCTGAGGGCAGCTAGGAGGCCGAATGGGTGAGAGCTGGAGTCTCAGGCGGGTGTTGGGGAAGGGGTAGGTGGAGGCTGGGAGAGCAGGCAAGAGCTGGTTGCCTGGCAAGAAGGAGGGCGGGCTTCTCTTTCCTCCGCCCCCCAAAGTCTCTGCGACTAGTCCTCTGTCCTCAGTCCCCATGCATATCTCTCTCCAGATGGCTCTAGGTGTCACGGCCTTCGATGGAGGCGCTGCCGGAGCCCGCGGTCAGAGTCCCGTTCCCAGGAGTCAGGGGGAACTGACACGGCTGCTGTGAGTAAGGAGGGGACAGGGGCGATCAGGCCCTGGGCCTGGATCCCTGAGATGGGGAGGTGGGGTTGGGGATCCAGCCTCCTGGGTCTGGGGTGCTGATCAGGGGCCGTGTTGGAGAGTATGGGGGTCAGGCCTTAGGGGCAGTCAGCATGAGGGAATTGGTTGAATCCATTTGTTTCTTGGGGAGGCTCTCAGTTGTCTGGGTTCTTGAGGGGTTAGGGGCTGGGGAAATGGGACTTGTGGTCCTCACGGGATCAGGGTCAGGGTGGAGCCTCTCCTCCCTACCCCAGGTGTTGGACATGGCCGCAGACAGCTTCCTGGCAGGGTTGGTGAGCGTCCTGGATCCCCCAGACACCTGGGTTCCCAGCCACCTGGACCTGCAGCCTGGCGAGTGAGTAGTTGGGCAGCTGGAGTGGGGGAGGCCTTGGCGTGTGAGCCGGGAGCACCCCTGAGGCTCACTCGCTCCTTCTGTCCCGCAGAAGCGAGGACATGCTGGAGCTGGTGGCTGAGGTCCGCATCGGGGACAGGGATCCGATCCCACTGCCGGTGCCCAGCCTGCTGCCTCGTCTCAGGGCCTGGAGGACGGGCAAAACGGGTACGTGTGGCCAGGGCAGAGCTGGGCAGGGGGCCGGCCTTGGCTTTGTGTGCGTCAGAAACAGTCGCGATGATTGTGTCATATAGACAGAATCTTTATTTTCGTGTTCGTTCCCCCTGTTACACTGGAATTAAGGCTGCAGTGCCTACAGGTATCCCTCAAGTAGAAACCGCTCCAGGGTCCTACCTGTCAGTGTACCTGCATGGGGTCTTGTCTCCCCAGGAGGGGGCACCCCTAGCATCTCCGCCTTCCAGAGAAGGAGAGGCTGAGAGAGGGAAGTCACTTGTTCAGGGTGGCACAGCCAGTGGTTGAGGGGTGGTCCTGAGCCCCAAGCCCAGATGTGTCCGACTGTAAGGCCCAAGTTGTTGACATCTGTGAGGCACACCTGCCCACGTGAAAGTCTGCCCCCAGCACCACGGGTGAGCACAGGTTCTCAAACAGGAGAAGGCATCGGAATCACCAGGGGGATTTTTTTTTAAATATATTTTTATTGATTTTAGAGAGGAAGGGAGAAGGAGAGAGAGAAACATCAGTGATGAGAGAAAATCATTGATCGGCTGCCTCCTGCACGCCCCACACTGGGGATGGAGCCCACAGCCTGGGCATGTGCCCTGACTGGTTCATAGGTCAATGCTCAGCCACTGAGCCACGCCGGCCGGGCACCGGGAGGACTTCTTGGTGCACAGGTTGCCGGGTCTGCTCTCAGGTTTCTGATTTGACAGGTCAGGGGTGGGGCTCGGAATTTGCATTTTTAACCCGGTGGTACTGCTGCTGGACCCTGGACCCCGAAGAGACCTGGGTTAGACTTCCCTTTTCCCTGTGCCTACATGTGTGGGGAGGGCTAGAGAGGACAGGAAGAGGACAGTCTAGCAGGAGGTCAGCTGCGAGCCACTGTGGCTCAGGGACCCTCTGAGCCGGTTCGCGGTTTCCTTGTCCTTTTTTTACAGCTGCCATTTGACTTGTCTGTTAGGCTCGGGGACATGGTGCCTAGGACCCAGCACACTCTTAGGGGCCCACAGAAGAAATTTCATTTCTTTTAAAATTAGAAGCCATGGAGGATAAGTAAACAAATGGGTGGGACTGTGTTCCAATAAAACTTTATTTACAAAAACAGATGGTGGGTCCTGGGTCCTAAGTAAAATAGATGTGTAGAGAACCTAGTAGTTGTCTTTAGGAGTTATGTTGTATTTCTTTATTCCAAGTGTTCTTTTGGTCTTCATTTGGAAAATACTAAGAACTTAGGAAAAAGAAAAGAAAACTCACCCTTATTTCCAATCCTATATAAAAACTACATAAAGGAGTAGATGCCTGTGCTCCCAGACCACTCTGTCTAGACTTTTTTTTTTTTTAGTGTTTTTTTTTTTTTAATCTATCATTTTGGATATATTTAGGTATTGTCACTTGGCTTATTGCAGGGTTTTATTCTTTTTTTATTTTTATTGATTTCAGAAAGGGAGGGAGAAGGCGATAGAAACCTCAGTGATGAGAGAGAATCATTGATTGGCTGCCTCCTGCACGCCCCCACTGGGGACTGAGCCCGCAACCCTGGACATGTGCCCTTGAGGGGAATCGAACCCGGGACCCTTCAGGCTGCAGGCCGACACTCTATCCACTGAGCCAAACTGGCTGGGGCCCCTGCTTTGTTTTCCTCCAGAGCCCTCAGCAGCTGGCAGGCTCTGTGCTTGGCATGCTGATATTGCTCTCCCCGCTTGAATGTGAACTCTTCGAAGGCAGTGATTTCTGTCTATTTTGTTCCTCTCTCTATTCCTGGTACCCCAGTCAGCACCAGGCACAGATAGGTGATAGATAAAAGTACTGAATGAATGCACGAACCCTGCTTTATAGATGAGGAGACAGACAGACAGAGGTTGAGTGACTTGCCCACCGTCAGGTCATGAGGGAGGGCTGGCGCCCGGGATCCAGATCGGGAGGTGGCGCCAGAGCTGCCCTCAACCCTGTGCTTCTGCGTGACGCGCTGGCGTCCTTGCCACGGCAGGTCCTTGCAGTTATATGTGGCTGATGAGGGCCTGTGGACTCTGATGTGTGTCTACGTCCTGGTGCAGGACTTGGCACTGAGACCTGTGCTTAGAGGCAGGGTTTCAGGCGTGTGGACCAGGTGACGTGGGAAAGTATGATGGTCGTCCCGTCACGGGCGGGTGTTGTCTCTACGTCCTGAGCAGATGTAGCCCCTTGAGTGGGGTCATTGCACAGTGAAGGGTCTGGAGTGGAGACTCGGGCGGCCAGGGCTCCCTAGCTCCGCCCCTTCCCGGCTCTGCAGAGGGAGCGGCACCTTTTCAGGCCCCCATTCTCTGTAAAATGGGATCACCTCCCACAGAGGCAGCCGGCTCAGCAGGCCTGAGCCTGGCCGTGCGGGCGGTGTGAGGTTTGGATCCAGCTCTCCCGCCCAAGCCCGCACCCTCTGCAGTAACATTCCTGCCCTCAGTGGTCAAGGTGGTCTTGGGCTGCGGGCCAGTGTCCATCTCAGGAGGGTGTGCAGGCTGGGGGACCACACTGACCAAGTTTGCACCCTGACTCTTCCCTGCTGTGCGTCCTTGGGGAAGCTACCGCAGCTCTCTGTGCCTGTTTCCTCCTGGGACCCTCAATCCACCGTATCTGGTGTAGAGTCGTTAGGAACATCCTGTGAGCTGACACATGGGAAGCACTGGGGCAGTACCTGTAGGTGCCGGGAGTGCTGAGGGCGGGGAGGGCATGGATGGCTGCTGGCTCCCCTGCAGCCCCTCCCTGGGGGGGACAGGGAGGCGGGACTGCACCTGACCACAGCTCTGTCTCCCCGTTCCTTTGCAGTTTCTCCTCAGTCTCATTCTTCTCAACCCACCCGTGCCCGCCACCTCCTCACCTTGGGCACTGGAGACGGGGGCCCTGCCCCACCTCCTGCCCCCTCCTCTGCATCCTCCTCCCCTTCTCCTTCCCCATCATCATCTTCCCCCTCCCCACCTCCCCCACCACCACCCCCAGCCCCCCCAGCCCAGCCTGCCCCTCGGTTTGACATCTATGACCCCTTCCACCCCACCGATGAGGCCTACTCCCCGCCGCCTGCACCGGAGCAGAAGTACGACCCCTTTGAGCCGACTGGCTCCAACCCCAGCTCCTCCGCTGGGACGCCCTCACCTGAGGAAGAGGAGGAGGAGGAGGAGGAAGAGGAGGAGGAAGAGGAGGAGGAAGGCCTGTCCCAGAGCATCAGCCGCATCTCTGAGACCCTGGCGGGCATCTATGATGACAACAGCCTGAGCCAGGACTTCCCAGGTGATGAGAGCCCCCGACCGGACCCCCAGCCCCCACAGTCAACTGTGGCCCCTGCCACCCCACCCCAGGCGGACTCCACCCGGGTGGACGGCGCCACCCGCCGGCGAGTCTTCGTGGTCGGGGCCGAGGCGGAGGCCTGTCGGGAAGGCAAGGTCTCCGTGGAGGTGGTGACGGCCAGCGGAGCCGCCCTGCCGCCGCCCTTGCTGCCACCTGGTGACTCGGAGATTGAGGAGGGCGAGATCGTGCAGCCGGAGGAGGACACCAGGCTGGCGCTGTCCCTCTTCCGGCCCAGCCGGGCTGCCCGCCCTGCGCCCGCCGCTCCAGCCGCCCCCACGGCCCAGCCCCCGCCCCCGCCGCCCGCCGCCCGCGCCCCGGAGGGAGATGACTTCCTGTCTCTGCACGCGGACTCGGACGGTGAGGGCGCCCTGCAGGTGGACCTGGGGGAGCCGGCCCCCGCGCAGCCCCCCGCGGACGCCCGCTGGGGCGGCCTGGACCTCCGCCGCAAGATCCTGACCCAGCGGCGGGAGCGCTACCGCCAGCGCTCGCCCTCCCCGGGCCTCGCCGCCCCGGCCGGCCCGCCCGCCCGAAAGAAATCGCGCCGGGAGCGAAAGCGCAGCGGCGAGGCCAAGGAGGCCGCCTCCTCCTCCTCCTCGGCCGCGCCGGCCCCGCCGGCCCCCGCCTCCCCCTGGGACTCCAAGAAGCACCGCTCCCGGGACCGCAAGCCGGGCTCCCATGCCTCCTCCTCCGCCCGCCACCGCTCTCGGTCCCGCTCCGCCCGCCGCCGCTCACGCAGCCCCGACCGCCGCCGCGGGGGCAGCCGCCGCTCCAGGTCCCGGGAGAAGCGGCGTCGGAGGCGGCGCTCGGCCTCGCCGCCCCCCGCCACCTCTTCCTCCTCTTCCTCGAGGCGCGAGCGGCACCGAGGCAAGCACCGGGAAGGCGGCGGCAGCAAGAAGAAGAAGAAGCGGTCTCGGTCCCGGGGTGAGAAGCGGTCGGGGGACAGCGAGAAGGGCCCGGTGCTGGCCCAGCCGCCCTCCGGCTCCACCTCCCTGGGCTCGGAGCGCGACCGCCGCCGGGGCGCGGTGCCGCCCTCCATCCAGGACCTCACGGACCACGACCTCTTCGCCATCAAGCGGACCATCACCGTGGGCCGGCCGGACAAGTCCGACCCCCGCGGCCCGTCGCCCGCCCCAGCCTCGTCGCCCAAGCGCGAGGTGCTGTACGACTCGGAGGGACTCAGCGCCGAGGAGCGGGGCGGCCGGAGCGGCGAGAAGGACCGGCGCCGCGCCGGGGCGGCCTCCTCCTCCCGGGAGAAGGGATCACGGCGGAAGGCGCTGGACGTGGGGGATCGGGACCGGGAGAGGGACAGAGAGAGGGACAGGGACAGGTCGTCCAAGAAAGCCCGGCCCCCCAAGGAGTCGGCGCCCTCAGGGCCCCCGCCCAAGCCGCCGGTCAGCAGTGGCTCCGGGTCCTCCTCCTCGTCGTCGTCCTCCTCCTCCCGGAAGGTGAAGCTGCAGTCCAAGGTGGCGGTGCTGATCCGGGAGGGCGTCAGCAGCACCACGCCGGCCAAGGAGGCTGCGTCCGCCGGCCTGGGCTCCATTGGGGTCAAGTTCAGCCGCGACCGGGAGAGCCGCTCCCCCTTCCTCAAGCCCGAGGAGCGGGCTCCTGCCGAGGTGGCCAAAGCAGCTCCCGGCAGCACCAAGCCCAAAAAGACCAAGGTGAAGGCCAAGGCCGGGGCCAAGAAAGCCAAGGGGACCAAGGGGAAGACCAAGCCATCCAAGACCAGGAAAAAGATCCGCAGCGGGGGCGGCGGCGGGGCCCCTGGGGGCCCAGTGACCCTGAAGAAGTCCAAGGCCGACAGCTGTAGCCAGGCTGCCGGGGCCAAGGGCGCAGAGGAGACGTCTTGGTCCGGGGAGGAGCGAGCAGCCAAGGCCCCCAGCACCCCGCCCCCCAAGGCCGCCCCTCCGCCCCCCGCCCTCACCCCGGACTCACAGACGGTGGACAGCAGCTGTAAGACACCTGAGGCCTCCTTCTTGCCCGAAGAGGGCACTGAGGAGCCTGGGGTCCGAGGTGGGGCGGAGGCGGAGGAGGAGGAGGAGGAAGAGGAGGAGGAGGAGGAAGAAGAGGAAGAGGAGCAACAGCCTGCCACCACCACGGCCACCAGCACGGCCGCCCCCGCCCCAAGCACGGCCCCTAGCGCAGGATCCACAGCCGGTGACTCGGGGGCAGAGGACGGGCCGGCTCCCCGTGTCTCCCAGCTGCCCACGCTGCCCCCACCCCTGCCCTGGAACCTGCCCGCTGGTGTGGACTGCACTACCAGCGGCGTCCTGGCCTGTGAGTGTTCCCCTTGCCGGGCCGGGGCGGTCTGGGTGGGCGGAAAGGACCAGGAAAGATGGCACTGGATGGGGACAGACTTGGAGGCAGTGGGAGGCCTTGGAAAGGGTGGGTGTGTGGTGACCTGGACTGGGGGCCGCAGGGGGGCGAGGGCCCAGCAGGTCTGTCCAGGAGGCTTCTAGATGTTCGGGTGATGGAGGAGAGCCGAGCAGACGGGCAAGGTGGCCAGCTCAGCACGGCTGGAGTGGGGCGTGTCCTGGCGCCCTCCTACGCGAGACTGGTATAGACTTGATGGGGGGCCAGGAAGAATGGGGTGAGCAGTGTTCCTTGGGCATGGCAGAAGTCTCTGCTAGGTCACAGATGTGGTGAGAGAGGCTGGGATTGGCTATGGGGGCTGAGCAGCCAGAAACTCACTTCTGCCACCACCTTGTCAGCGATTGGCCCTGGCCCACCCACCAACACGCGCACACACCTCGAGTGGCAAGAACATCGGGGTGTGGAGGCCCCCTTTTCTTAGTTCGGAGCCTGCGGCCTTAGGCCTGTCCAGGGGGCCCGGGGGGTGGCAGTAGGTGGAGAGGTGAGATTCACTCTCATCTCCTGTCAACCCCGGACCGCCCTGTCATCAACTCTCCGCCTCCTGCAGTGACTGCACTTCTCTTCAAGATGGAAGAAGCCAATCTGGCGAGCAGAGCAAAGGCCCAGGAGCTGATCCAGGCCACCAACCAGGTGGGGTCCCCAGAGGAAGGGTCCCCACAGCCCCTTCTCTTGTCCCCTGCCTTGGGTTAGGAGAGGAACTACAACTCCCAGCAGGCCTTGAGGCAAGATATTGGCCAGAAGCGGAGCTTGTGACCCTTGGGACTGTTGGGAAATCAGGGTGGAAATCATAGGGGTACATGTTTCCTCTTTCCCTCCACGGCCCTTTGTTCATCCTCCAACCTCTTCCACAGATCCTCAGCCACCGGAAGCCACCCTCCAGTCTAGGGGTGACACCAGCTCCTGTACCCACCTCTCTGGGCCTGCCCCCTGGCCCCTCCAGCTACCTGCTCCCTGGCAGCCTTCCCCTAGGGGGCTGCGGCTCTACCCCTCCCACCCCCACTGGGCTGGCCGCTGCATCTGACAAGAGAGAGGGCAGTAGCAGCTCCGAGGGACGAGGGGACACAGATAAGGTGAGCTGGGCTTGGGAGCGGTGGGATGATGGTGACGGTTTTGCAGAGAACAGGAGCAGATACTGAGATGCAGGGGCCCAAGGAGAATGGCAAAGACGATGCCAGTAGACGGGGCCGTAGATTTTAAAAAAACTGAAGTTGTTAAATTGTGAGGATCTGAACTGTCACTGTAATGGATGCATGGGTGCTGGGCAGGATTTTAAAAAATTATATATATATGTGTGTGTGTGTGTGTGTGTGTGTATATATATATATATATATATATATAGAGAGAGAGAGAGAGAGAGAGAGAGAGAGAGAGAGAGAGATAAGGATATAAACACACTCATACCCACTACAGTCTACCCCTTGGTTGCCATATCCATCCCTCCTTCCCTCCATACCTCCCTCCTTCCTTCCTTCCTTCCTTTCTTCCCTTTCTCCATCCCCATCTTTTTGTGTAAGGGAAAGAGTGGTTGACAAACAAAAGTCAAGCATTTTCTAGATGAAGGAAGGAAGAATAGATGCTGGGCAAATACAAACAGGTTTTCCATCTGGCTCCTCCTCCAGACCTCGGGCCGCTACCTTTTTGGTCAGTTCAGGATGCTTTTTGTTAAGGTCCAGCAGCCTATCGCCGATCATGGCTGCCCGCCCCTCAGTACACTTCATGTACGTGCCAGAGGGAGAGCAGAGTGAACCCCATAAACAGCGCCGTGTGAGGGGCAGTGGCAGGGCACCGCTCCGCGGGTCACTGGTGCGTCCAGCCGCCATGGTCTGCAGGACAAGGACAGTACGGCCCTGTGACCAGCAACGGGCCCCTTGCTCTGTGCGTGAGGCCACTCTGGTCTGTTCTCTGCCTGCCGTCTTCCCTTGCCACATCTGAGATGGCTGTGGGGAACAGCCCCCTTCTCTGTAGGAACCCACTTCCCGTTGGGTTAGGGAGGCCCAAGGACTCTCGGGGTGGCCGGTGGCTGTCCTAGCAGTGGTGCTGCCCAAGCAGCCCAGGGGTTCAGCAGACAGTTTGCATCATCTCTTCCGAGATGCTGGCCCTGAAGTCTGGAGTGTGCTGCCCTTGCCAGAACTCAGTTCACTGTTCCCGTCTTCCCTCAGCCCTGGCCCGGGAGGCGACCTCCCCAGGGTTGCTGTTTCGGGTGACTGTCCCCTGTGCAGACTGGCTCTGGCTTGAATGTGCTCTCCTGCTAGAGGTGTCCTATCCGTCGGTTTTTGCAAAGATCCCACTTGAGGTTGAGGCAGGGGTTGGGGTCCCTCAGCTGCTCCCTGTCCTGTCCCCACCTCAGAACAGTCACAGCTCCCCTTGCTGTGGCCTCCATGTGTCACCTCCCCCTCCCCACGAGTACTGTCTGCATTTTACAAGTGAGCTGTAGAGGGTTTGGTCCCTCGTCCAGGCCACGGGTGGTAGAGCAGGATTCTAGCACCTCCCCCCGTGCCCTCCCCTCCACTCCTAACCAGTCCTGGACCCCCGGCAGCCAGGGCAGTGCCGTGAAGCCGACGCTGGGAAGCCTGGCCACACGTTCCTGCTGCGATCAGAAGCCTCATAGAGTCTGATGACAACAGTCGTCCTGCTTGGCTGTCTTGTCTCCCCACTGGACTGTGAACTTTGTCAGGGCAGGGGACACGTGTGTCCGTGGCCACCTGGGACAGCCAGAGTGCGGCCTGGAGGGCGTGCTCAGTGACACTCAGACGCCCAGGCCTGTGGTCCGTGGTGACCTCAGCACAGGGTGCCCAGGCAGCCCCTGACCACGGCGTCCCCCTCCAGGAGGGGCTGCTGGTCCAGGAGGCTGAGTGGCAGGCAGGGGTGGAGGCTGGGTCCCACAGGAACTCACCTAGCCTTGCTGTCCCTTTTCCCCGTCACTGTCGCCAGTACCTGAAGAAGCTGCACACACAGGAGCGGGCGGTGGAGGAGGTGAAGCTGGCCATCAAGCCGTACTATCAGAAGAAGGACATCACCAAGGAGGAGTACAAGGACATCCTGAGGAAGGCCGTCCACAAGGTGGGCCCAGAGGGGGACAGACACGGAGGTGGGCGGAGGACGCAACGCAGAGACAGGAGTGCAGACAGATGTGCGCAGAGGGGGAGACTGAGGGATGGGGGGTCAGTCTGCAAGGTGAGGAGGGTGACAAGATCTCAAGCCCATCTGGGCCGTTCTGCTGGCATCGGGATAAGTAGGGACGTTGGCCTGGATATTGGGGAGCTATCCTAGTCTCAGGCTGTGCTCAGCAGTCCAGGTGGACGGGGCTTGGGGGGGCTGGCAGTGATCGCAGCTGCCCCTCGCTCCCCAGATCTGCCACAGCAAAAGTGGGGAGATCAACCCCGTGAAGGTGAGCAACTTGGTGCGCGCCTACGTCCAACGCTACCGCTACTTCCGCAAGCACGGCCGCAAGCCAGGGGACCCCCCAGGACCCCCACGGCCACCCAAGGAGCCAGGGCCCCCTGACAAGGGCGGCCCTGGCCTGGGCCTGCCCCTGCCCCCTCTCTGAGACCCCCAACAACCCCACTTCCTTCCTCTGCCTCTTCAGAATTCTGGACGTATTTATGGCTCCACCTCTCCACTTCCCTCCCCCCGTCAGTGGGATGATTGGGAGAGGGTTGCTGTGGGGATGAGGAGAGCCCCCTGCCTAGCCCTGTGCCCATCTTCCTTGTCCCAAGCCTGTCCCCATTGCCTCTCCCCTCTGTTCATGTCCCTCCCCCAGTTTCATTAAAGATTTCATGAAATGTTACCTTCGAACCCCGTGATTTTAGCCCTTTCTTTTCAGAGTCTGATTTGGGAAGGGGTTAGGGAGGGACAGGAGGCTTGGCCCAAGTCTGAGGGTGGTTAACAGGGAGACCGGACTGTGGCTCGGGGCCAGTACTGCCCCTCTCCGGGCCTCAGTCTCCTTATCTATAAAGTGGGTGTTGTGAGGATTAAGTGAGACCCAGGCAGGGGAAGCACTTAGGACCCTCCCGGGACGCTGTCAGCGGCTGCTGCTGAGAGTGGTGGTGACGGCACATAGGGGCCAGGCTCCTGGTCAGTCTTCCCAGCTCGGGGCACCCAGGTGCTGCTTGTCTGCCTGGGACGTGCCCGCCCCCATCGAGTTGGGCTGTGCTTTGCCAGTCCACGAGGTGGGGCCACATGGTGCAGCAGGGCAGTGCCGGCCTTGCTCAGTCCTGTGGCCCACAACCCAGGCGTGGGCTCCAGGGTGGGGCACAGAGCTCCTTTACCACTGCCCATCCCAGCCCCCGACAGAGGACGTGCCTGAGGCCACCCCGCAGGAGCTGGAGGGAGCCAAGGCCGCCGACAGACAGGGCCTTTTAGGCAGGGAGCTCTCTGTATACCAGAGCTTGGCCCTGGCTGTTCATAGGCAACATGGGGATTCCAGAGGCGGCCCTGGGCCTCCCTCGGAGAGCAGTGGCTTTGAAATGAGGCTGGATTCTGACCCCGCTTGCGTCTCCTACTTTGTGACCTTTGCTCTTCTCTAAGTCTCACTGTCTCGGCCTGTAAAGTGGGAGTGACTGTCACCTTCTCCCCAGGTCCATGGAAAGAGGTGTGGAGGTGGTGAGTGTCGGCTGCCCCTACAGTGTCTCGCCCTCACTGTGCGCACCCGAGCTGTGGGTGGCCTGCAGATGCATAAACTGAGGTCTGAAGGAGCAATGCCCAGCTTGGGCCAGGGCTGGCCTGGGGACACCGAATACCACACACAAGTGGTGACAGTGGCAAGAAGTAGTTTATTGGTGGAGGCGAGGGACCTGCACCCACAGGTGGTGGGTCAGACCTGGCCAGTGACCTAGAAATCCATGCCCTCGACCAGGTCCTGCAGATAGGCCTTGTACTGCTCCGACGTGAGAGAGAGAGGCTGGCTGTTGGAAATGTGCAGGTCCACAGTGTTCTCCAGCGAGGAGGCCCCCCCGACCCGCGCCATTTCCAGCAGAGCCCTGAGGCACGTGGGAACGACCTACAGGAGGTGGGGAGAGGCACGGTCACGGAAAGCAACTCCCAGCAGGTCCCACCATAACCCAGGATGAATTCCTGGGCTCAGGACTGCTGCGAGCTGTAGTTTTCCCATATTCACAACCACGGAGGCCAGAGGGGCTCCCAGAAGCTAGGGCTGAGCAGCTGGTGTCAGAAGGACTCCTGGGAGCTGTAGTTCCTCACAGGCTGCTAGGACGTACAGTCCACCAACTCCCACATGGAGGAGGCCATGGCCGGGACACCCACAAGTCTCTGGGAATGAATGGTGGCTGCAGCCCTAGCTGGCTGGTGTCGCTCCGTTGGTAGGAGCATCATTCCATACACTGAAAGGTTGCAGGTTCCATCCCCATGCGTCAGGGCACATATGGGAGGCAACCAATTGATGTCTCTCTCTCCCCGTGCCCCCCACCCGCCCTCTAAAAATCAATGAAAATAGCCCTAGCTGGTTTGGCTCACTGGATAGAGCGTCGGCCTGGGAACTGAAGGGTCCCAGGTTCGATTCTGGTCAAGGGCATGTACCTTGGTTGCAGGCACATCCCCAGTGGGGGGTGTGCAGGAGGCAGCTGATCGATGTTTCTCTATCATCGATGTTTCTAACTCTCTATCCCTCTCCCTTCCTCTCTGCAAAAAAAAATCAATAAAATAGATTTTAAAAAAAAGAAGAAAAGAAAATATCCTCTGGTGAGGGGGGGAAAATGGTGATGTAGAGAGTTGGAAATTTTAATTTCTCCAGGGGTTTCTGGGAATTGTAGTTCCTGGGAGCAACCTATTCTTTTGGAAGACCCGCCCCCTCAGCTCCAGGATCCTAAGGCGCAGGCACCTTGACCATCACTAGCTTCTTGGTCCACGGCTGGTGCTGGGGCCATGGCTCCGCTATGCAGAACCAGAAGGTGTAGCGTGGTGAGCGTCCACTTCCATTGATGAAGGCAATCAGATCTGGGGGCCCAAGAGCCTAGTCAGGGATGGGAAGACCTCTACCTGCCCCTCCCCCTAAAACCTGAATAATATCCTACCTTCCCCACTAACCTAAAGCCTGGCATACCTCTGCCATCAAAACCAGGGGGCTGCTGAGGTGCATCAAGTCCCCATAATTCTGGCACAAACATACAAGTTCCTTTTCCCTCCCACCCATCAGGGTAGGGCTGGACGATCCGCTCCCACCTCCCCCTGAGCATTCAGGATGGGGAAACAGGCCCAGGAGGGGAATCCTCTCCCAAAGATGTTGACAGTTACTGCTCTTTAACCCCCTAAGGCCACACTGTCTCTACGTAGCCATTAGCCACCAGGGCTATTGAAATGGTAACTAATTAAAATGCAAATAGTTTAAAACTCACTTCCTCAGATGCTCTCAGCGCATCTAAGTGCTCAATAGCAATGTGGCTGGATACTGTACGATATTGTGGAGTGCAAAGAAAGTGCTATTGGCTAGCAAAGTCCTACGGGATCTTTCCTGTGTCTGTCTGTCCACCATAAGCCTATATAATAAAGAGCTAATATGCAAATGGTCCTCACACCCTCATGCCTAGCGCTGGAACTGTTCAGACACTCAACACTGGGGAGAGAGGAATGGGGACCAGCCAGGCACAAATGAGCTCACGTGAGAGGAATGGGGACCAGCCAGGTCCCGGGTGCCTGCAGCCCAGGTGAAGCCACCCACCCACAGTTCCTGTGGCTGCGGCCGGCCCGGGAGAAGCCGGCCCAGGTCCTGGGTGCCTACGGCCGGCCAGAGGGAGGGAAGCCCTGGTCCCGGGTGCCTGCAATCGGCAGGAGAACGGGATCCTGGGTCCCGGGTGTGGGGCAAGGCGGAGGCGGTTAGGGGCGATCAGGCCAGCAGGGGAGCAGTTAGGGGCAATCAAGCAGGCAGAGGTGGTTAGGGGTGATCAGGCACATAGGCAGGCGAGCGGTTCGGAGCCAGCGGTCCTGAATAGCGAGAGGCAGTTGGACATCCCCCAAGGGGTCCCAGATTGAAGAGGATGCAGGCCGGGCTGAGGGACTCTCCCCCTCCCCGCATGAATTTCGTGCACCGGGCCTCTAGTTGGGAATAATGATGACGACTATGGCAGCTAGTTCCTGAGCACCTTCTGTGCAGGGGGCCCCGTGCCTCCTCCCAGCTCCGGGTAGGCAGAGGGAGGGAGAGGGCCCTCAGACTTGCCAGGCTCACAGCAGTCTAGGCTAAATGGCCAACAGCAGCAGGATCCCGAAAGGTCAGACCCCGGGCTCTTAACCACTGGGGCCCCCTCTCCACTCACCTGCCACAAATGGCCCCAGGTTGAACACGCTTCCTTCCGTCTCTTTGGGGACCTCGCCATCAGGCCCGCGGCCGCTGTCGGGGAGAAGCTCCTCGCCCACAGCCCAGTATGTGTGGCAGGGGCCCAGCCTCTGGGCGCAGAGACGCTGCCCTTGCCTCCACAGAGCGAGTCCCCCGCCCAGGCCGCTCAGCACACGACTCACATAGTCCTTCGCGGCCCTGTCTGTCAGGAACGCCCCAGGGTCTGGCAGTGTTATCGGCTGTCCGGGGAGTGTCCTGTCCCCTCCTTCTGACCCCACCAGCCGCAGGCCCCTCGGGCAGAAGACCGTCTGCTGGAAGACTTGGCGGCCCCGGTAGAAGGCGGTCACCTCGAACTCCCAGTCTGAGCAGCAGCGGCGGCAACGTGAAGGGAGAGATTGAGAGCGTGTAAGGGCCCATCACCCCAGATCCAGCTCCTCCCAGCCCACAGCTGGCACTCACCGTCCTGGGGCATCAACAGCTGCTTCAGTGGGTTTTCAGGGGGCGCTGGGTTTGGGTAGGGAGCAGGAATGTCTAAGTTGGGGCTCAGCAAGAGCTGAGGGGGGTATTCAGGGGCCACAGCCAGGCTCGAGGCCCCCTCATCTGGAACTGAGCCCAAGGCCATGTCATTCAGTAACTCCTCCAGAATGTCTTCCTAGAGAGAGAGATAGAGAGAGAGAGAGAGAGAGAGAGAGAGAGAGAGAGAATGAAGGGTCCAGGCATTTCCACAGCATTTTCTGAAGAGTTCCCATGGGTCAGGCCTTGTTTTCAGCAATATGGGAACCCAGAGAGGAGACAGTCCTGAGCCTTGCTCTCTAGGGCAGTGAAGGCGAACCTATGACACGCGTACTCATTTTTTTAGTTCATTTTTCTTTGTTAAATGGCATTTAAATATATAAAATAAATATCAAAAATATAAGTCTTTGTTTTACTATGGTTGCAAATATCAAAAAAATTTCTATATGTGACACGGCACCAGAGTTAAGTTACGGTTTTTCAAAATGCTGACACGCCGAGCTCAAAAGGTTCGCCATCACTGCTCTAGAGGTTTCCGATCTAGGGGAGAGACTGCCCTGGGCACAGAGACCGCCGCTCGCACAATGCTCTGATTACGCTGAGGGCTAAGAGGTCCGGGAGAGCAGCTAATTCAGCCCAAGGATCTGGCTCCACGCAGGCAAGAGCTGGGCAGAGAGGTCTGGGGAGAATGCCCCAGGGGGTTTTTCCTGGCACAGACATCAGCAAGATCAAGGGCAGGGAGTTTCTGGTTCCCAAGAGGCTGGAAAGCGAGGAAAGGAAAGCAACGGAGGTGTGTTAGGGCCTCGAATGCCTGGTGAAAACGGAACTTTCTCCTGAGGGTGCTGGGACGCCACGGAGGGCTGTGAGCAGGACAGGGGGAGGGTCAGCTCTGGGTCAGGGGAGGGAGAGAAGGGAGGTTAGGGAAGAGGCGGACAATGGTCCGTGGGGAGAATGAGGCCTGAACAGGTGCACAGGGACGCAGAGGCGATGGGACAGA